AGAAGAAGAAGAAGAAGAAGAAGAAGAAGAAGAAGAAGAAGAAGAAGGAAAGCAAAAAGACAGAATTTAGGCTTTTTAGAAAAACATAGAGGAACCCCCGTAGGCGCAAACGTGTGCGTGGAGACGGGGTGAGGGAAAGAGGGTTGGCGTAAAGTTTGCAGTTAAACACGGAAGGTCTACTATGGCTGAATGCACTACCTCTTACCGCCACCCCTCCCCTTATGGAAAATTTAAAAGTCAATATTCAGTAAGTTTGCAAACACGGAAAACACCGGTTTGTTAGGCAGGGCCACCGGATATCCTCGCCCTGGGTCATGCAGCTGAAAATATTACGGACTATGACGTCAGAAAGCTGGTGTACTGAAGCTAGCATTATGGAAGCACTCTGAAATCATCTATGGCTCAGGGATGACACAGTAACAGAGACTATAACTGACAGAGCGATCATATGCAAGGAGGACAGGCGAAACAAAAAGTTGTGTTTTCAGGGGCAGCAATTACGTTAAGCGGCCCACTGGTGCACTGTTTGTGCTGGATGGTGTATAAAGCTCTATTAGATGTCGGACAACATCCACCACGTCGGCTCCGGGGCAAAAAGTGTGCAGACAAACTAATCAGTTGGTTTCAGTAGCTGAAACCAAACTGTTCAAACTATATTATACAAAGTGTATCTTGCCACGCGCTTTAGATTTAACAGGATTGTTTTCTATGCTGAAAAAGTAATTATTAAGGGTGGACTTGTTCTTTGTTTGTGAATAACAGTTGGATTCCTGAAACTTTAATTCACCTGATTTTAAACTTTTCTTGCTTAAAACAAAAAGTTTGGTTCTGTCCTGTTAAATAGCATAGGAAACTTTTCGATAAATCAACAAAGTCTACAGTTTTCCTTACTAAAGGCTGTCATGAAATCAAATCTCCTCATTCGATCAAAATAACCAGACCCAAATGTACACTAAACTGCCAACTGCAATTTCGAGCAAGGCTTTGCACGACCAAGGTCACCTACTGTAGGAAGCGTAGAATGCACAAACCTGAGTGTTTATCTTCGACCTCGTAGACACGCTTTTGGAAGGCTTCAAGGACAGGTGCTGCGTAGACTTTGTTGCAGGTT